TTTCGGACACAAATCTCTCGTTTAAAATCTGCATAGTAAACTTTACCCCAACAAGCAAGAATGCTCTGTCTTTAGCAACGGCTCTGGTTAAATGATTCTCTTCTGTGGCCTCCACTTGGAAAGCCGTTTGGGCCAGACAAAACGTTCTGGACCGCATAAACAAAGAAGAGTGCTGTGTGGAGCTCTTGCTGTCTTTAACTTTGACTTTATTGTGACAGTTAAAAGCGAAAATAATAGCAGTTAAAATCCCATAAAATGCGTCTTAATCATAAAAATGCGATTATAAAAATGGACGAGCGTCGGCGCAGAGACGAAGGCATAGGGTAAGGCACTGTAGATGCCGTTGGTGAACTCTTTTGCCTTATTCATGTTGCCCCATTGGCCATTGCTGTTTGTTGCCTTTGGCTTTTATGAGCTGCACGCTTATGGGCAGCTGCGACTTTATTGCAGTTTAGCTCAGATGATGGGCTGCAGAGGCTGCATGACCGGACTTGGGGACTTGCGACATTTGTAATTGTTTATTATGCCGCGGTCGGGATGTGCAGGCTTTAAAGAGTGGCTCGTCGCCTGCTCTCTATCAAACCAAAAAGAATTTTTATTAATTGTGCGCGTTTTTGTTTCACACCAAAACCTTTGCAACTGTTGTTCCCAAGCCAAAAGCGCAAATCCTATAAATTTTTTACTACTTATTTACGCTGCTAAGGCACATTTAGCCATGTCAAGCAATCGCATGGCCGTGCTCGTAAAAGCAGAGTCCCGCCCCAGTCCCAGTACCAGCCCCACTCGCCCACAATTCGACATCGACAGCAAATGCTGGCCGCTGTCGTTGTCACTGGCCTCTGTTGGGGGTGGTGGTTGGGGGGGAGAGTACTTTTATTTTTGTGAAATTTCATCACGTTTTTATGTTGTGACCACGTGACGCCAGGGCCATGACTCCGACTCTGATACCGCCACCCAATGGCAGGCAGGTCCCGGCCCCAATCTCAACTAAGGAGCACAAACAGTCTTTTTTCGCTTGGTCTTGGACTGGCCAAAAGTAGCGCAAGTACGGACGCACGAACACAACTAAGCAGGCCAGAGCATCTGCACCTGCTGGCATCCCAGCAGCAGTTGGCCGGGCACGTAGAAAATAGCAATGGCAATGGATCTAGCAATGGGGAAACTGGAAATGGAAATGGATATGGAGCAAACGGGCGCCAGTCAAAGTGTCAGTGTGTAAGCTGGAAGCATTTACCTAGATTGTGCCTGTAAACGGATTTGCAGCGACTACGTATTTGGCCACATATTCAGGCAGCTAGCACTTGACGTTATAAAGGATGCCATTGACGCAGCAAAGGCTTTAACGATTCGTTGCGATTGGATTCTGCACTTTAAGCATATCAAATCTCTAATACTCTTGTGGTTAAGCAATAAATCTTGATTTTTGTTTGATTTTTCATTGATATAATTAAAGAATGTTCTGCGTGCGATTGATAGAAGATTTTAATACTTAGTGACTTAGTCGTTTAAGAGAGTGACTGCAGCTAGAATAAGTAAAGTCTTCATTCTCAGAAAGTATATCTATATATCTATATCTATCTATATATTCTATCTATATATTCTTATGAGACTATTATGAGAATTTTGTATCGATTCGAACTCTGATTGAAATTCATAAGAATGATATTGGATACATTTAAGAATTAGATACATATAAACTCTATACGGACTCCCAACATCAACCAAATTTCGATTTTCAAACTTTTATGGAACAGTCTGATTATTTTATTAATCAAACTTAATAAAAACTGCAATTTCGATAAAAATCTGCCTTTCAAACTTAACGATTTCCTGTTTGACAGATACTCATTGGCGAACATATTGCGCGTGGCAGTGATTCCACCAAATGAAAACCCAAACCCCATGCTTAAAACAATTGAAAACTGAAGGAAGGAAAAAAAAAACTAAGCAAGCCAGCAATTCTCGTTACAGTATACACGGGGTGCTGACGATACCCCCAGCATTGGCCGGAACTGTGGATGCGTCCCTTCAATATGTTTGCATCGAACCCTGCAACAGCTGCTGCGCAAGCCAGCCGAAAAGAAAGAGAGAAGAGGAAAATGCCTTGGAACAGTTGTTATAAGCTTAAATTGCTGGAGTTTATGTACAGAATGTCAAAGCTGGTATCGAGGTCCGGCAGTGAAAATGTTCAATAGCTGGCATACCAGGGGGCGCTGTTTTTAAGGAATTGGAGACCTTGAGCATACCCAGCAGGAGCAGCCCAAATAGCGAGTGGGATGCTCGAACAAAAGGTGAGACGGCATTGGACTGAGCCCGTGCTTCAGCCATGGAGACGTGGCTCCAACCCCATGTGGCAGCATTTTATCGCGTTGCCCCGGCTACCAACTATTGTCGCGTTGTTTGGCCAACCATGAGGTTGGGTCAGCCGGATGGCCACATCGATGTCCGTCGCCAGCAGTGCCAATGGCACTTAGAACAACATTCTTCTATTTGACCACACAACGTGCAATTGGCAGCGGCTACAGCCCCATTGATGTATTTTATGCACTTCCATTTCATGGTCAGTTGGCGTTATGGTTTTCGGGGTCGAGCGAGCGACATGTGTGCTCAATGACAAAAGCCAGCCAGAGGATTGGGCGACGAGTTGTGCTTGTTGTTATATAGATTTTATTTGATGCGGGGCACAGCCTGGCATTGGGCGCAGATATCTGATCGTCGTTGAAAGTGGATAGAAACTTGGCTATATTTGAGTTTTCAGTAGCACATAGATTTAATGCTCGATCGTTCGCTTAAATTTCCGTTCACGTAAACAATTTATGCTCGGTCTTTGCAAATATTTGCTGTTTGTTATTTGCTATTTGCCAGCAACGTACTCGTATGCACGTCAACAAAAAAGGCACGCGACTTTGTATAAGCTCTGAAAGTATGCAGACTATTTGCAAACATTCAACACAGTTACTCAAACAAACACACACAGATACACATGGTAGATAAATCTATACAACATGCAAAAACTAATTTTCCATCAGCAAAATAAAATGCCAGAGTAAAGCGAAGCGGCTGCTGCTGCTGCTGTTGCTGTTGTTGCTGCCAAAAGCCAACGATAATTTTAGCGCGTTTTTTGCCGCTGTATTCAATGGCTTTTGTAAATGCGCAAATTTTGTTACACACAATATAAATATATATTGATACATTGATGTGTACTAGCAGCAATATACATACAAACATACAGGACCGGCCGAGGTCGGTGGGCAGGCAGCGGCACGGGCGGTTGAGGACGAGCCAGCCGCCTTTTATAAAACACATATTTGAGTCTATTAAAAATGCGTTTAAAATGCTTTCTGTGGTTTTATGGTTAAATTGTAAAATTCAAATAAAATTGATTTTTGCTCGCGCATCCAGCAAATAGGAGTTACGCTGTTTTTGTTACATGCCAAAGGCATACGCGTACCTTTGATAGCGAATGGTGGATCGAAATGAGTGTGAGCAGAGCCTGACGAGGCATTAGTTTAAATGTGGCAGAGTAGACTGACGCAGCTGTGAGTGTTAGTCTTAATTTAGATAATAGATCAAATGAACATTCTGAATCGTTTTGAAATGCTGATGAGGCATCTCTGAGCCAACAGACTTTTGCAATGCAAATATTGTGCAAACTCCAGTCACTTCTACTTTACTGATCATTTTTCTTAGCACCACTGTGCTTAACTTTTTGCATATCGCACCGCAGGCAATGTCAGAGCAGAAGTCGAAGACGATTGCTCAGTCGGGTGGCTCAATGAAACATGCAACGTAATTTCCATGTGGGTAACCAGCAATTTCTGGCATGTAACATTTTTCAACATCAACAACTCCGACAATATGGCGGCGTTACTCCAACCACACACAGACTCTGCAAGAAATACACACGTTCAAGCTGGCACTGGCAGTGGCACAGCAACAGCGAAGAGATGAAGGCGCAATGGATGGCGCAGCCAAGCGCGAGCACTACAAGAAAAATTGTAAGTGAAGCGTATAAAATATTATTTTCTAATGCTCGCCGACACACAAAGCTGTGGAGCGAAATGGTTGAAAGCTGCACGGAAGTTGGCAGCCCAAAATGCAAAAGAAATCAAGAAAAATCGTTTGAAGCTGCAGTTGGCTGCTGGCTGCTGGCTGCAATTCGCGGGCTACTTGGGCTTAATCTTAATCCATCTTAGTCTAGTTGGCCAGAACTGTTGACTGCTGGCTCTGGGCTCTTGGCAGCGTTGGCAGGACTTTGGAAATGTTGCCAGACAGCACAACGAGAAGCAGAAATGTAAACACAAAACCAAATTATTGTGCAGCATTTGTTCGTTTTTTTGTTTAAGATGCTCCCAATTTCTGTTTCTTTTGCTTTATTTTCTATTTTTATTTTTTGTGTGCTCATGGAAAAGCGCCTTAAGTTATGCTGCCATTTTTTCATTTCATCTATTCCGCACAATATTCTTTGTAATAATGTTGCCTTGCAGCGAGCGCGCAGCAAAATGAAATGAATTGTGAAAAATGTGCTCGTGCTTGGCCCGTTTGGTTTGACTTGGCTTGAGTTGGTTTGGGTTGCCTTGCGACGTGGCTCCGGTGGCTTCTGGACTGGCCGCTTTCGAACTCAATTACATAAGCGCAACGCACACTCACACACACTCGCAGACAGAGTTTGGCAGTTTGTAATTTTCAGCAAATGGCAAGTCACATGGCTCGCGGGTGTGGTGTGAGCTGTGTGACTTTGCTCTTGCCGTTGCCTCTGCCTTAGCTGCTGGTCCAAAAATCACGTAAAATGTCAAATTGGTGAACGTCAAGAAAATGGCGCGTTTGTTTTGTCATTCCCACTTTCTTACCATTCGCCTTATCTACTATTTTAACGCGCAAATATTTTTTTATACCCAGCACACAGAAAATGCCACAAAGTGGGCCTGACCAACTAGAGTCAATGCCTGTTACCATCACAATTAAATTGCATTGCCAGACAATTAAGTACTGCTATACATATAATCTCTTTATAATGCCAGATCTATTTTCAGTTCTATATAAATATTTAAGTCGTTTGACAAATAGTTTCCCCTGCAGTGTATGTGTTTAGTTTGCTTTACGGAGTATCTGCTTGCGGTTCATCCCTTTTTGAGCAACTTCATACTTGCTCTCTGCTCGACTTGTGTGAGCCCTGGTGGATTTTGGCCCACACCCCACTGCTTCCGTTACGCTTTCAGCATTCAAAGCACACAGCAAAAATGCCAACAATCCAAAGTTGAGTTTTCTTTGGAATTTGTTGGCGTTTTCTTTTTTCCGTTTCGCTTTTTTTTCGTTTCATTTTCTTTTTCTTCTTTTTTTTTGACATCTCTGCTGGGGAGGCAACATGCGCGCGCCACATTGACAATTGCTTATTTGTGTCTATGTGTGGGTGTCTGTCCTGTGTGTGTGTGTGCCCGCTTGTACGTGGGGGTGGACTGCCACAGTTAACATGTAACTTCAACGTCAAGTCAAACTGATGTCGTCGTCGCCATTTTGTTTTCAGCTGCCTTCGCTTCTTTTTTTTTCGGTTCCTCCATGGCTGCCTTTGGGCGTTCGTCTCACGCTCGTCTTGTCTCCGGCTGTGGCCGTTTTGTATGTTTGTTAAGTTGCGCAGCGCTACGCATTCCGTTGGTATTTCACCATTAATACTTGTCTACTTAACGGTAAATTACAGACATTAAATGCACGCACACACACAGCAAGACAAATGCGTGTGTATGCACATATCTCTCAGTGTATTGTACGCTACTCAAGCAGCCTCCACTCGCCGCCCAGTATGCCTGAGTGTGTGTGTATGTGTGTGTGTGTGTGTGTGCTTGTGTGTGCTTATTTGTTGTCAGTACGCGTCAAACATTTGAAAACATTTATTTTTGCCCCTCAACAAATGCTACATTTCTCGTATAACACCACTGACAGTTCTTTGCTTTTGCCATTGCCTCTTTTACGAGCATTTCCTTTTCTTTTCCTTTCTTTCCCTTCTTTTTTTCTGACGTTCCTGCCGTAGTTTGGTTTCTATTGCTGGTTAGCAGCGTCTTGCATTGTTGTTGGCGGACTCTCAAGATAAATGAAAGCAGTGTCCCAATAAGCGGACTTACTACAACTTTGCATTCACTAAGTTTGAGTCAGTTCAATGCGAATATTTTAGATTTCAGTCCGGAATTAACATTTGATTCTGCTTTTTTGATTTAGTTTACATTTTACGTTTTTTAATCGACATTGAGTTAGAATTTTCAGCTGATCAAAGTTTTTATTTATTCTACATTTAAATCCAAGTCAAATCAAATTCATTCAATCTCTTTTAGTGAAAATTGTAAAATTCTTGAAAACCTTAAATGTGTGCGAGGGCGGGCACAGTTAAATACACAGACCGGAAAAATTGGGGCCATTTCCTTTGTATTTAATTTCTATTTCAACAAAAGTAAAACAATACCAAAAATCAAACACACAAAGCAAGTGAAAGGTGATGCAGCTTTCGGGCTCTGGCTTGGGCTTTGAGCAGGGCTGGGGGCTGGGGATATTGTTGACGGGGCGGCGCACAACTTGCGAAATACTTTTGTGTAACTTTGGCTGAAAACTTTATTTTGTGTATTATATATCCTGTTAACAATATACTTCAGTTTTTCTGCCGTTGCCTGCTACCGCTTCAAAGGCAGGCGGAGCCAGAATAACAAAAGCCAAGAGTCACTTAGCAGCTAGTATATGTGTGTTTGTGTGTGTGTGTGTGTGAGTGTGGGCACGTATTGGTATGCGTGGGTGTGCGTGTGAGTGTGAGTGCGGTTTCCGTTAGCCAACAGTCTTAGTAGGTTTGTCTCGTGCTGAGCACTTGAGCTGAACTGCTCGAGCTTTTCTTTTGTTTAAATTTTGGTTTGTGTCAGCAACCACATGAACGTACGCACACACACAGCCCGTTATACAAAGCCAAATTGTTTTAGAAGAAAGTCAAAAGTCTTGCACGCCAGCCAGGCAAACAAACAGTGGGCTGTGGCTCTGAAATAGGCAACCGGGCTCAGTGGTTGGGACAAAAGTTGTTCAAACTAAACAAGTCATGCACATTGCAATACCCTGCATTCCACATGCGTAAGGGGTATATGCAGGCAACATAGAAAAGGTTGCCCAACACAAAGCTCATCCACAGATTATTAACCTTTTCTAAAAGTGTATTCCAACCTTAGTTTAATATGCCTGATATCAACTAAAGGGTATCTCGCGTTCATATTCCTTAAGTGAGGTAGCTTAGTGATGTGCTTCTTATATCCGTTTTCGTTTCAGAATACAGTACACATACATACATACACATCTTTGTAAATATATATATATATGATTATATGAGTATGTATGTATGTGTGTGTCTGTAATTACCATACGCATACGTGAGAGTCGTGTCGAAAGCGGTTTGGTCGTGTCACGCTCTTGTCATTTACACGCTTCCTGAGGAAATTTGCATTTGAGCCTCGCGAACACTCATTCAGATTTACGCAATTCACTTGACGCGCTCTCCAAAAGGGGGCCGGGCTCCATGAATAAATTTGTACTCGCAAAGGTGTAAATAGGTTCTTACCTAGTCGAGAGCAAGAGCCTCGCAGCAATGGCACAAATCACTGTCTGACTGGGCCATAAATACCAAATTGACACTATTACACGTATTACACAGCAGCCAAACGACCCGCCCACCATCGGCACGGGCAACTATCTTTTATGGGCGCCGAGCGCGTGTACGCCTTAATGGACACCTTTCAGATTAATTGCCGACGGCGCTGCGACGTTGGCGGCCACATGAACCGCAAAAAGAACAAAGCACTAAGCCAGAGTCTTGGTCCCGGCCACGCTGTAGCCTTGTGTTTAACCAGCCGAAGTCACGTGTCAAATAAAATGTCAACAAAACAATTGAGTTATTTATTTGGCAATGGTGCAGAAGCAAGCTCAAGCTGCTCCGTCGAGGCGTTTAATTTGAGCAGTTCGCCTGCTCCGGCGACGCGTGTGCCGAGTATTTAAAAATCCATTGGCGGTCACTCGGCTAATGCCGGGGAGTTACTTTGTCAGAGCGTCGGCTCAAGTGCCGAGTTCATTGCAATGCAAGGCGCACGGCAATTCGCAGTACAACAATATCAACCCCGGCCACACATCCGCTCCGGGGTCCAAAACAACTGACACGTGCGCCCAGTGCCAGCCTTGCTGTCTGCCTGCCTGGCAACTAGAAAATCATTTAGCGGCAGCACCGGGATTAGCCGATGACACGCGTGTCGTAGGTTAGCGCCCAATCCCAGGCGCAGGCCGTAATGCTTAAAGCCGAGCTGCTCAATTGAAATGAAAATGATATTTGCACAGGCCCAGCCGCTGGCTGAGGCGTCGCCAAAGACGGGGACCTAAACAGACAAACGGACGGACGGACGCTGGGCTATACTCATCCTTTTTGGCTCTCGCTGCTAAGCAAACACAAATAAAGACCTTTGATGTGAATTTATTGGCAATGGACGAAACTACAAGCAGCACTGCTTAGGTGGGTGTGGCAAGGGTATCAGAGGCGTGAGAAACGACTCGACTCGAATCTCTTTCTCTCCTTAGAAATTTGCACAACAAATGTGAATGAATTTCGTTGGCATAAATGCATAAATAAAATACCCGAGTGTGAGTGTGTGTGTGTGTGTGTGTGCATGGCCATTGAATATGAAATAATTTATGCATTTGTATGCGCATAATAAGTGAATGATAAATATATAACCTTAGATCTATATAAATATATATAAATGTAATGCATGCGTTACAGTCAAACTCTGGCACTGGCCTCGTCAGAAATTTGATATTGTAAAACACATTTATACTCTTGGTAGTTGCCATTAAAAGCCAAAATGTCAGTCGCCGGCTTGGCACGTGGAAATTATGAACAGCAGCCGGAGTAGCGGTCGGCAATGTCACAGGATGTCATAAAATGAAATGTGGAAAACACAAATGAAATTGGTTGCAAGTCCAAAGATGGCTGCAGACTGTAGATCGGACGCCCGCCACGGGCATAAATTATGTAAATGCACACACGGCCAGTGTACGCCCACGACCACGCCCACGCCCCACAACCACCTCAAGCTCCACCAAAGCTACAACTTGGCTTGGCCTCGAAAGTGTACAGTGTACAGTGTACATGGCGTCGAGTTCGGGCTAGGCTTTGGCCCATTAGGCCCACCACACGCGGCAAGCTGCTGTTGAAATTTCAACAGCATGTTGCGGCCCAGCTACAAAACCGTTCGCCTATCCACCCCCGCCCACGCCCCACAAAAAGGTCAACATTTTACGGTTGATTAAAGTGCGCTGTGCTCTTTCTGTGGCTCTGGGCTATGGCTTGGCTATGCCTCTGGGCCTCTGACTCCTACTCTTGCTGGCGCCCAAATTGTTTAAATATTTAATGAAGTGCATAAAAATAATTTACAAAAATATTTCATGCATTTTTGGTCGAACAAAAAATGGTTGAAACACGCATTTTGTTTCGCCAGCTTTTTATATTACTCTGCCGAATATATATATATATATATAGACAGATATTTATATATATATATATGTATATGTATATATGCGTGTGGGTATGTAAGTATTTTTGTCAAAATATTTTTTGTACAATTTATTTGTAAAACCGCCAAAAGGCAATTTGTGCATATTTGTTAATGGAAATTGTTAAAATGGCTTAAAGCATTTGGCCCAAATGGACTGCCCAATGTCCGCCTAATTGAGTGAGTGGGGCTAAAAAGCGAACACAGCAGAAAAGGACAGTCGCAAAATCCATACAAGTTTTTCTTGTTATTTCTGTTGTTGTAGTTGTTGTTTTTGGTTTATTTACAGCAACAAGCTCTACTGCTCCTTTGCCTTTATTCAGTCTGGTCCTTTTAATAAAACAAAAAATATTTCAATTATTTTTGGCTAAGCCTTCTCGGATCTAGGTGTTAATTTGGCTAATTTCATTGCGGGCACAAATATTTGAGATTATTTCATATAAAACAATTTGCGGCCCAAGCAACCTTGGCTAAAATAAAAAAAAAAAGAAACAACCACTGTCCAAGGCACAGAGCCCGGAGCGTAGCGTAATCTTACATACGAGCGTGTGACAGATTGACCGAGGAGGGTGCAGCAGCTTGGTAAAAAGCGTAACAAAAGCGAACAGCACATAAATGACAAGCCAGTTTGTCCTTGGACACAGGGGCGGACTGAAAGGGGCGTTCCTGCTACGCATTGCTGCAGCAAGGTGGCATAACAAGTGGCTGCCTTCCCTTGAATTCATCTTTTTTTGCTGTTGTTTGGCTGATTTTATGGCGCAGAAAATTGAATGATTGATCGCAAAAATAGGCGCAACTAATTAAATTATGTGTGTGACAATCGGGCGTTGAAGTGGGCGTGGCTGCTGGCCACCTGCAACGAGCAGACGCACGTGCAACTGCTGCTGCGGCTGCCGAAGCGACTGGTATTGCCTGTTTTTACTTTTTTGTAAAACACGTTTCATTTGCATAATTTGCAACTTAATTTAAATGAATTCAATGTTTCAGCCGTGCGCTCAACGCACTTTTCACACACGTGCGCCACATTTTTTGAGCTTTGCGGCCGAAGCGCCTAGCCGCTCTTAGCAGAGTAACCGCAATGCCACATTTCACATGCCGCATTCCACATTTTGCGGCTCACTTCATTTTTGTCATTAGCGTTAAAAACTTGCCTTGCCACATAGTGGATGTGGGCGTGGTGACGCCTATTTTTTAGCTAGCAACGCCCATGGTGAAGACGTTGCATAAACCATCGGCTTTGGCTTTGCCATTAACTTTTGCTCGGGGCGCGTGTAGTTTTCATCCACAGACGCGTCGCCAGAGCAGTCTTTGAAACTCAACTAATTTATTCATGACATCATCATTAGGATGTCATGGTGTGCGCGCAAACCTTTTGATCCTGGCTTCTGCTGCTACCGCTGCCGCTGCCGCTGCTCTGTTCATCCGCACCTTTCCCAGGAGCCGCTCATTCAGCACACAGTTGCCAGCTAGCTAGCTGTTATTTATGTTTATTTTGCGTCGAGCCAAGACATTTACTTTGTTTATGTTGGCGCCTTTGTGGCGTCTCGAGCTCTCGCTTCTCGAAAGTCGCAAGTCGAAAGTCGTAGCAGCCCAAGGGCTGTGCTTTAATTGGCTTATTCGAACATTAGTTTGCCGAATGGGTTTCCTTTCTGCACGTCTGGGGCGTTCTGCTATGAATTTTAATGAGTTTAATAACATTTCATACTGCATTGAGGTTGTCTTAAAGGACTTGTCTAGTTGACTTCTACTAAATCTCATCGATTCGTGGCGAACGAACGAACATAAACTTATATTGAAGTATTTCTGGGAGCCTATTCATATATTTACCTTACTTTGAGCTGCATAGCTTGTGTAACTTCTGCAGGACTAAGGGCAAATAACAACCTGAATTGCATGTGATATGTCCTCGATTTGAGTCAGGTTTTTGAAATTTCGATTACATAAAGCACTCAACCATAAAGAATTACTGTAGGACTGCAGGACGACAGGATCATTGGATAAGTTGCAAATATCGTCTGCTGCCTACGAGTTGTTAATTGACTTTGCAGCTTTTGCGTCTAGAGTTGCAGTTGCAACT